AATAATTTTTTGGAATTTCAAACCAAATATGTTTTATAGTTTTCTATTTGGAGAAATAATTTTTCAAATTGACGAACCAAACGTGTTTTTCGCAATTTTAAAACAGATCCTTTAAATAGAAAACTTAAAATGAACACAAACCTTAAACCGAAACACAAAAAGGGACGGTCCTTAACTATTATTTCCCTCCACTTTGATTTTGAAAACATAATATACATGAATGATCACACAGAATAAATTAAAAACACTCTCTTTTACTTAGAAAATTTACACAGAACTTCACTTGTCTAATACACCAGGGTTGGGTTTCACTGAGAATACACTCATATCTAGTAGAAGGACAAAAATGTATCAGAAACTTTGCCAGTGGCTTGTATCAGTTTTGTTGAAACTTTTCTCTAATAGAAAGCAATCCCTCCAAAACCTGCATCATGTTCAATCGGTTTCCTGGATGTTCTTCTGAACAGGCGAGTGCGATGTAGAAAAGGGATACCAAACAGTCAGTTTGTTCTCTTGTTAGTAATCCTTCTACCCAACCCACAGTCCAGTTTTGAAAATCTTGTGCACAATTCTCATTCAAGCTTGATGGATCAACAATCTTCATTACCTGATCTGGTAGTGATAGTTTCACAAAATTGTGAAGATTCAAATCGTCTATAAATTGTCTATCAGTAGGGCTTCGTCCGGTGAAAAGCTCCAACAAGAGAATTCCATAGCTGTACACATCTCCTTCGGTTGATGACTGACCTCCCATGGAGTACTCTGCTAATTTTAAAACGATTAACAAATATATGTGTATGTTAATTTGGTATGTAATACTATACAAGATTGGACAATATATGATTTTAGCTAATTTTTCTTTTCTTAATAGTTAATATTGTGCTATCCAATCCTCCCACCAAACATGCAAATTTTTTTTATTTCATCTCATTAAAGACCAATTATATCAATCTCATTGCAGTAGACAAAAGGTTTTGCAGCATGAGATGGAAGAAACTTTAGTCTCTAATGACACTTGAAGCACTATAAATCTATATGTTTACTGTCTGTGACCGATTTCTTTTGATTTGTTATTCCTCCATAACAAGGGATTAGAGCTTTATCAGTGACAACAACAGCCTTTTCAAAATTTGTACTGTACAAATGTAGCATAGCGTACCTGGAGCAGCATATCCTATGGTTCCTTTGATGACAACTGAGCTAACCAAATTAACTTCCTCATTTGACTTCAAAAGGAGTTTTGCCAAACCAAAATCACTAACATATGCAGAAAGAGCTTCATCCAGAAGCACGTTATTAGGCTTGAGATCACAATGAACCACAGGAATCTGAGACAGATGATGAAGATATTGCAACGCAGAAGCAACATCGATTGCAATATTCATTCTTTGAAGAATATCTAAACATTTTCCTCTTTCTCCATCTTCTGGATGTATCCATTTTTCCAAGCTACCATTTGGCATAAGTTGGTATACAATGGCTTTGAAATTATTGCCCTTAAAATCGATACTTGAGCACACAGTTAGGACACTTACGAGGTTCCTGTGTCGGATGTTCCTCAAGGCTTTGCATTCGGCTAAAAAGCTTTTTAAAGCCCCTCTTTGTTGAAGGTTAAGAACCTTAACTGCAATGGCTATTTCACTAGGTCCAAGAATTCCTTTGTACACAGTACCTGAACTGCCTGAACCAATCATATTCTCCGAAGAGAATCCCTCGGTTGCATTCCACAGCTCCTTGTAAGTCAACTTCGGATAGAAGTGGCCGAATGAAGGCCTTGAACTGAGTTTTGTTCTTGATTTTTTCGAGCGAAGTAAAACGAGAAGCAGTATTAAAGCTAAACACAAAGGGATAACGATAATCACTACGATCCATTTGAGACCAATTCGTTTTTCCGAGGTTCTTGATTTTTCCATCAAGCAGGTATGCAAATGAAATTCTTGAATCCCACCACAGAGTCCATTGTTTCCATAAAGTTCTACTGCATTTGCATTTTTAAACACACCTAGTATAGGTACTTCACCTTCAAGCACGTTAAATGAAATATTCAAATACAGTAAAGAAGAAATTTTTTCCATATATGATGGAATTTTGCCCTCGAGGTTATTCTTTGATAGATCTAAATAAAGAAGACCCATCAACTTCCCGAGGTCTGGAATGGATCCTTGGAAGAAATTTCCTTGCATATATAGTGTTTCCAAGGCCAAACATAGCCCAAGATTGCTTGGAATTTCTCCAGACAAACTGTTATGAGACACATCAAGTGCAATAAGAAATGTTAATTGTCCAACTTCCCGTGGTAATGGACCAGTTAAAGAATTGTGAGACAAATTGAGGGTTCTTGAAAGAGTGGGTTGACTGAGAACTTCAGAAGGTATGGTTCCATTTATATTATTACCAGACAAGTCTATTTCTTGGAGATTCTGAAAGTTTCCTAAACTTGGTGGAATGCTTCCTTCAAATCCGTTGTTTTCTAAACGAAGATATAGTAATTGAGTAAGATTTCCAAGAGAAGATGGGATCTCCCCGGAAAAATTGTTGAAACGCAAGTATAGGGATCTCAGGTTTCGAAGCCTTCCAATTGAAGCTGGAATATTACCTGTCAAGAAGTTTTGCCCCGTTGCAAGTGTAGACAGGCTGACAAGAATTGATATTTCTTCCGGGATGGTTCCGCTAATAATGTTCTTGTGAATGTTTAGCCAACTCAATTGCGATGATAAATTGGCTAATGAACCTGTCAATTGTCCTCCAAATTGGTTGTTGCTGATATCCAGACGAGTTAGCTGGCTACAGTTAGCCAACGATGCAAGAAATCTTAAATCATCTTTTGATCCACTTCCCAGATTATTTGAGAAAACTTGAAGACGTAACAGATTGTGCAAGTTTCCAAAACTAAATGGAATGTTTCCCGTGAAGGCATTTCGAGCAAGATCAAGGTTTTGAAGATTTGAAATGTTTGACAAGGAAACTGGGATTTCCCCAGTAAATGCATTTCCTCCCAAGATCATTGCCTGAAGATTGGGGAATACGAGCCCTATGTCGATCCTCAGATCTCCATGGAAGTTATTTAAAGTAACAACAATGAACTTGAGTGATGACAGGTTGTACAGAGGAAGAGGAAAAGGACCACTAAACATATTTGCTCCAACAGCAAAAAGTGTCAGATTTTTTAACTGAGAAATTTCATTAGGAACCTCTCCCTCAAGATTGTTATAAGTTAAATCAATCTCGTGCAAAACTGTAATATTTCCTAAAGAATTTGGCAGTTTTCCTGTAAAATTGTTGCTTCCAAGATACAATTTTTCAAGCCTGAAGAGTGATCCGACGCCAACAGGAATTTGACCTGTGAAATTGTTGTTTTCAAGAACGAGAATTTCCAAATTGGAACAGTTCAACAAATTCCCTGGAATTTCTCCTTCCAAGAAATTGAAACTCAAATTCAGATTTTGAAGCCTAAATAGTCTACCAAGTTCTGAAGGAACTTTGCCATGGAAGAAATTTTCTGCAAGATTAAGAGTCTGAAGAAAAGAAAGATTTCCCAAATGGGATGACATTTTCCCAATCAAATTCTTCTTTTCAAGATCCAGCTTAATGATTCTTTGGGATTTATGGGCACATGTAATTCCAGGCCATTTGCAGAAATGAACAGTTTCATTCCAAGAATCCAGGATTCCAGGGGATTCTTGATTCAATTGAGACTTGAATTCAGTAAGTGCAACTTTATCTGATTCAGACCCCAGAATTGAGGCATTTTGTGAAAATATTGATTGAGGGAAAAGGATAAAGAACGTGCAAACAGTTAGGGACAGGATTGAACAAAAATTTATTGCCATCACCATTTTAGCAGTGAGTGCTGTGTTAAGGGACGTTATTTGATTTTGAAAACATTACATATATATACATAGGCTTCCACGACTCCCGTTAACCAGGTTGACCCATTTCAAGACTCAATATGAACCCAGATCTTTAAAGAAAGAAACTCAAACAGACAAGTTGATATGCTTAAACCTCAAACAAGAGGTCGCATTTCAAGATTAGTGCTTAAACGAACATAAATTGACTTTTTAAAATGAAACTCCAAGACACAACATGCATACTACGGATTAAATACACAACGGATTAAATACACAAGGATATTCCAGTTGGGGTCCTGGGGATTAGTTCAGCAAGATTGATTAGCTCTTATATTTATGAATTTGTCATGTTCTTGGCAATAAAATAAGAAGAAAAATCTCTTTTAAATAAGTAACGTCATTTTTAGTAATTTTCAGTGTGACAATTTCTCATAATTGATTATTGATGGACTCTTGATTCAGAAAGCAACTTTCCTCATTTATGAATTTCAGTCAATTTTGTATCAATAATTTTGAAGGAAATAAAGGAAATGTTGATCAGGTCAATTGCATCTACACAGGACATTGGAAGAACAGTTCAGCAAATCAGTATGTTGATGTCAACATATTGTCACAACATGCATCTTGTTCACAAATTGACAAATTTGTCATTTTTGTTAATGAGATGTTACACTTACATTATTAACCTGTTTTATGTGTTTCAAATTGATGTACATATATTTTTAAATATCACAAGTAACCTTATAATAATACATGTCTAAATAAAAATTGACAACTGTTATAAATTATCATAAAGAACCCGAAAAGTCTAATCAAAGTCGTAAATCTTGATTTTACCAGACCAAAACTTACAGCCATCGGTAAAATTTTTGAATTGTCATATTCAATTTGCCAAACATGACATTCTAAATTATAGTTATAAGACTTAGCCCCAGTCAATGACGCAGCTAAAGCAATGGATGAGTGGGTCATTGATTTAACCAGCGAGTCATTGCAAGTTCAAAATGTAAAACTATATTTTTTATTTTTTGAAAAAGAAAGAGATATAAATATAAGTTTTTAAGTTAAAGTTGATTCTAAATTAAAATTTCACTTATAGAAAAATATAAATTCTCAAATTTTCTCATTCTGAAAATCAAGTATATAACCAATACATTTATCATATTACTTGGTCTTTATTTGTATTTATCATTAAAATTTTAATTTTCATATATTTTTTTAAAAAAATAAATAGTATTTTTGAAAAATATAATCTAAAAGTAAATATTAAATATATGTGTTTGAAGACAACAATTATATCAAATAATGGGGTATCCTAGTGGAAAGGCGTGACTCTTGCAAACCTGAAGTCCTCATTTTCAACATTTTGTGAATTTTGAGGAGGGGAAAAAAAAAAAAGCTGTAGAAAATTTGCGAAGAAACCAACCTGTTTACCGGGGTTTGAGTAATGCCCGGCCGGTTCAAGAGGATCAACGGCAGTTCAATTGTGCATTATGCTAAGGGACCAGACCAGGGTCTGGTTCACCGGGTTTCAGATTGGACCCGCCGGTCTGATCCAGTTTAGTAATTATGTTCCGAACAAAAACTATCGAAACACATAATAGTAGAGTATATGAACAGAAACCAGATGAAAACCTGTAATTGAATCATCTCATCTATACACATTCATCCCAGGGAGAGAGAGAACAGTAAGTCCTTTGTTCCTTCTCAGTAAAAAGAGAAGGCCATATACAATTACAGTTTGTAGTGTACCAAAAAGTATGATCTGCAGTTATTATGATTCAGTTTCTGCTGGTTTTGACTCGGGCACTTCCTGAGGAGCAGAGGACTTACCATGTGCAGATGCACCAGAAGGGTCAGATGTCAGATTTTGAGAACTGCACCAAGATCATGGTCATGTTGTCACAACCCACGCCTCCTGCAGTAGATGGTGCCAGACACCGGTCGAGTACTTTTTCACAGACCTTGGAAAGCTTAGTTTCCTGCATAATCATGTTTATATATGACAAACATGATAATCAACTGAGGAAGTTCGAAAAAGCAGGCTTCCCGATTTAAGAGTGAAGTGTGATTATAATTGCACGGTTTTGTGAATCATAAACCTCTACATAATCTGATAGGGTTAACTAAAATCAAGCTTCTCAGAAGCCAGTTTCACTATGATAAAGGAATAGATAAGAAACATGAAAAACAATATTAATAATCATCTGATAGTAATTTGTCCACCATATCATTCTGAATTTGGTACAAATGTGAAATACCCAAGCACATCTTCACATTTAAGTTTCAATAATGATCAACGGAAGTGGTAACTAAGGACTTACAGTTTTCAGCTGCTCCTGAATAAAATCTACTAGCTGCTGGCTTGTCATGCAATCCCTGGGAACCATTTGGAAAAAGGAACTTGATTTGTCAGTTATATGAAGTCTTGTATCTCTACCAAGTATTTTACCTAGAATCCCCGTCCGTATCACACATATTATAATAAAAGAAACAGGAAAGTAATTAATGAAAAACGTGATACAGATTTGGAAAGTAATCAATGAAAAGCATGACAGAGATTCAGAAATCCGCGAATATGCATGTAAGTCAGGGATGCAATGATATAGACACCCACAAGTAAAATAGGTTGTAATACATAGTACAACGGTCAAAAGCAAGTACCAAAAATGGAAGACGAAATAAAATCTTAAAATATCAAAATCTCCAGCATCCTGCAGTGTGGTTAGAATGCATAAATGTGAAAGTGAACTAATAAGATAGGAAAATCCAGGAGCACACTCTCTTTCAAAATCCATTATTTTCAGATGCATAAACTTGATGTAAAAATCATAAAAATAAGCAAAAAAATAACCCTATCCGTCTATGGGTACTTATCCATTAAAGGATGTACCACATGTTAAGAATTACCGTGTGAAGGGAAAAGAGGCTTATTAATGTCAGTAATCAGCTATTCTACACGAGGGTGAAAGACATGTCAATGCAAATTTCTCATTTCTGGTCCAAGCTTAACCACCAGGATTCGCCTAGGATTTCTACTGATTGGGGAGATTGAAGTAGATGCAGCGTCAGATTTTACTAATACAGCAATGTTTTGGAGAGAGACCTGAGCACTGGAACTGTGTAGAGAGGAGAGTACAGAACAATTCAACAGAAAAAATCAAACCACATTGGCTAAATTCAACTAGTCATTTCATCGGCCTATATAATACCTACCAATTTTTCGTCATATGGGAAGGATACCCCTAGGATAAAGTTTCTTCCAACATGGTTCAATATGTTATGAGTAAATTGATTAAGTTGCAAAAAGACTTGAATATCTTTGATTTAACATGCTACCCATAATTTACCCTGGATCTTAGCATATTCTACAGCATGTAAAATTGTGGATTGAAATTAAATTGCTCTAGATATCTTATAATCCAAAGGCAAGCCAAAAATTTGGCAATAATAAAGAAGCATATTAAGACTAGAAAAACAATGTAATAATTTCAGGAAAAAACAAGTTCTATACGAGGTCCCAACATGAGTTGAGCCCAAGTAATAAATCATATTTGGCTTTACCAAAAACAAATTTTACAATCTAATATAATTGGAACAAAAAAACAGAGTTTGGAATGCACACCAGATTCCATCACAGGCAAGCACAATGAACTCATCATCATCGCAAAGTTCTACCTGTCAGAATTGACAAAAATAATAATGTTATTAAAAGCAAGCAGCAGAGAACATATCCACATTCCTCTGATTAAATCATCCTGTGACCAACTATCGTGATTCGATTAATCTATAACTATTTCATTTTGAAATTTCCCAAAATTATAATGTCCATTAAATACAATTTTAGCCCTTGTTTGATCCACATTATTTCCAACCAACATTCTTAAATAAAATAATATTACACACAAACCCAAATTTTTTTCTTATTTATTAACTACGCATTCTCCATCAATCTATTATTCTAAAATGCATTCTTAACAAAAAAAAGGGGCTCAAACTTGCTCTTACAAAGAAAATAAAAAGATGACATGGTTCTTATCATTTTAGCTATTTATATTATCCTAATATAATCTTATATTTCAGAGATTATATAATATATTAAATAATAAATAATGTGAAAGACTTTACCAAAACAATATATCTTATACAAACATCGCCAATTCAAATGCCAATTTCTCTACTTAACTGTTTCGCAGCAATGTTAGAACAGGTGACAAAGCAATATGCAGAGTCTAAACACCAATTGATTTAAAAACACATAGAGCTCTATAGGAAATGCAAATCAAATCATAAAAGAAATACAAAGAAGATAGATACATACAATATTTACATCAGGATTGGCAGTTACAATTTGCTTTTCAGCAGGCAAAAACTTGTTCTGCTTGAATTCCGTGTCACCTGCATCAAATAAAAAAAATGATCAATCAAAAACTACATTTTCTCATGCCAGATTGAGCCACTTCTCAAGTTAAGCACTAAATATGTCCACTTTTATTCAGATAATAGATCCACCAGATTATGGCCTCTATTTGTATCCAGTTAATTTGCGCCATGAATCAAGTTATAAAGGGTCAATTGAGATTTGAAGCAGGAGAAGACCAACAAATTCTGAATTTTTTTTATAAAAACCAGTGAACAGGCAAGCTGGTACAGTACCAATAGCTCTTGCAAGATTGAGACTGCCATTAACACGTCCTGCACGGATAAAACCACCAGCTTCTAAAATTCTCTCTCTCTCAACCTCAAGATCAGGCTTGTGGTCTATCGAAAGGTTGTACGCCTGAATGAGAACGATAAACAAATATTCACAAATAGTTGGTATCAGTACAATTAATGAACATGGAAAGTTCACCATACAAGAGTATATATGTTGTAATTTACTATTTTCAAATACCAAAGGACAAGAAACAGAAGTTTGGCTACATCAAAACTTCCATTTAGGTGCATATGTACTTCCCCTAAACCATCTGCACAAGAAAACAATAAAAGAATCTTGTCATACTACAGAATACCTGACCACTCCTAGAAATTACACACCGAGAATCACCAGCATTTGCTACGACAAGTTGGTTGCCCCTCACGACTGCAACACAAGCTGTGCTCCCAGAAGTAGGTCCAGAAAAATCAGAATGTGGGCCCTGTCAACAACACCCATAATGATTTCGAAGGGAACAAAAATCACAGCAGCAATAATCATTTATCAACTTACTCATCGTGTAGTGAAGGACAGTAAGGATTTAAAATATAATATCGTAAACTGGGTAATGATTGCTTGAATTATTCGACTAGTGACCACGAAGCCCCTATTTGCCAATTCAAAGGATCGTGATTCATTGAAGTGAAATCATGCAATGTAAACATAGTCACTGTTAATAAAAGAATTAAAGCATAAGTATTCTATTGATGTAAGTAAACACCTCCTCAAATGCCCAATCATCAACTTGGTCATTTCTGTATCCGCTTCTTGGAGACCATATCAAGCCCTCTATCAGGCCAGTGAACTTGTTTATTTTATCTCCTAGGATGGCCAACTCCCTCCATCCTCTTTGGCCACGCATCATCTCATCCATTCTACATTAAAAGGAAAAATGTTTAAACCTTACACAACATGGTCAATAGAAAACAAATATTACTATAAAATAGATATTCAATTTAAACAACAATCAGTTTATAGTATGAAAATAGTGTCATGTTACAGTAATCTAATTCATATTAAGGATTCATATCAAGATCCTGGTAAGAATTAGAATAGAGAAACTTTATAGCAGTCAAAATGGCAAAACCCACTATTCGGGCTTCATGAACCCAAATCCAATCAAATGAAGAATAAGCATATGAAAGAATATCATTAATGGTGCCGCTAACATCCTATAGGAGGCAATATCAGTGAGAATATACCATTTAGAAGCTGATTTACTGCATGATTCTGCTAAATTTTTTTACCTTAAACAGGATACAACAACCCCCTTCTTTTCATTTTCGGAGGTATCTATAGTTGAGGAGAAAAATGGGGTACACCAGAAAAGCAAGGAGGTCAACCTCTTTAAATATAGAACATGAATTCTGGCAGTGCAATGCAATGCAATGCAGTTAAACTCTCACATTGATTCAAATGAAACATCCTTTCAATGGAGGTAGGTCTTTTTAAATTTTTAGATAAATAATACACCATCGCCATACTAAGTCATAATGATAGCATCCTAGTAATAGCATTTCTAACTTATCGCAAACAGAGAAAATGAGGAGGTAATTGAAGAACAGTGTACCACAACTGCTGTGCCTATGCGTGTAAAGTGGAACCACTTCTTGGTATCTGAATCATTAGGATTACCAGCTTTATTATAGGAGCAAGCATGAAAACCATGCACATAATTACATAGACAGACTTCCAAGGGAGTTCTACACAACTTCTTAGGGAAATGAACGCTTACTTGTCATGTTCTTATCTTTCAAACTTTTGTGAAGGTGTTGCCAAAATATTTTTTCAGTAGTCTTTCAGATAGGAATCTCAGATCTCATTGTAGGTGGTATCTGGTTTTTCAAGATTTTAGCGGTTTCTGGATTTCTTCATTTCACCTTATATTTGAATTTTTGCAGATACTTCTAGGGCTGTTCACCTGGATTGCACTACTCTAGGGCATCTCTAATAAATATTTAGTGCAAATGATCTTCAAGAATCAAACTAATGTCAAAACATGAAGATGATGACCCTAACTATAACATGAAGATGATGACCCTAACTATCTGTGTAAGTTACTTCAACAGTTCTTCCTAAGTAAGAAGACAAGAATTAACTGCAATATTCTAACAATTGCCTAGATCCGTATAAGTTTGCTAATCTTAAAGTAAGTTGAAAGTATCTCATGATAAAGCTGTTGAAAATAATTGTGCCATACACAGAAGACCTAATATATTGAATTCAACGATAAAAGAACATATGCATACACCGAACAGAAACTCTTAACGACTGCCAGAGATTAGAAAATGACCTGAAAAAAGCTTTCTGAATGGAAGTACCAATGTCGCCGGACAAATATGCTTCGTGCTTGAGAACTTGTTGATGAAGATATTTAGCACAGAATTTGGCAACCACCTTACCTATGAAATTCAATATATTGATAAGGACAATAAAAGACTAACCAGAAAACAAAGAATTGGGTAACAAAACTTGATTTAGAGCCAATCATTATTTCCATTTAAGCTAATTATAATCTTGAATGGATTATAGCCCTTGTTTGGGCTCCATTTTAATGTATTTTTGGGGAAAATATATTTTGGAATGGTGATTTTTTGAAGAGTGTGCGGTTAAAAAGGAAGGAAAAGTTTTGAATTTACATATAATATTATTTTATTGGAAAATGTGTGGTTAAAAAGAGGAAAAAGAAAAATGCATTTTGGATAAAATGAAGCCCAAATAGGGAGATATTATGTAAACGCCTACAATAAACACATCATCTTTCTATTGCGTACTCGTATCTTTTGACTCACAGGTATATGCAAAGGAACACCAACTCGTATTCCAAATCTTCACGCTATGGTATAGGGCATGTACCCTTATTTTAATATGCAAAATAACAAGGGCAAAAGTAGAAAAACTTACCCCCGTGACCATCATAAACACCAAAAAATGAGGTGGAAGCATCCAAATCAGTAACTGCCGCATGCTTGAGGAAAAACAAGAAGACCTTTGTCACTGACAGGTTGTATGACAAATCAAAAGGCACTAGATGCATATAACAAGATGCAATCATAAGATATTCCACAACAGTATTTCTCACTAACAATCATTTGAACACGTCTTTATAACGAAAAAACCATACAGAAAATATTTGATGATAGTCACAACATCTAGACAGAGACCATAACGCATAGCTGACTGAACCTACATAATCTTTCAAGGTGGTAAATAGTTTATCTTATTTATCCCAAAATTTTTCGAACTGCATAATAACGTTATACAACTGTCTTTCCTTATTTTCTTTCTTCCACCACCTCCACGAGCTCCCTCTCTCTAGCAGCCTAGGTGCCCATGCACTCTTGTAAGCTCTGTAGCACGGACATTTCAACTAGGGTAGCATGTTTATGTTCTACATGAGTCGTACACTCTGTCATGTTTATTTTTTACTTTATCAGCAATATTTATATTTTAACTCAAAATTATTTTAAATAACAGATATGTACACATGTTTAAAAAATTTCGACAATAAAAATTTAATAACAAATATAAAATTAAATTTATACTATATAAATAAAGAATTTTAAATAATTTAATTAACGTGTCGATGACATGTCATGTCAGTAATTTTTTAAAATATCGCATGTCAGGGTGTTTGACACGTGTCCGTGTCGGTACTTCATAGTTTGTAACAAAATGCCTACATTGATTTACAAAATCTTGCAACATTTTTTCAAATTAACAACATGGGCAACTCGAAGGAAAAACCACATGAGGAACACTAGAATATAAAATTCAGACCCCCAATGGAACGAGGGCTTTGTGCTAGCTTTACTTCATGACTTGGGGGAACGGGTTAGACTAATGCAATGTATGAATGCCCTAAACAATGCTAAAGCCCTAGAACGGCACAGGACATGCCATGACATCTATATCAATTCTTTGGTTTGACAATTCCCATCTTGCTTATGAGACCAAGCACTAGACCCCTCATTCATTGCAGGAAGAACTCATCAGGAAGGGACTTTTAACCCTTAAGAGGTAATGTAATTTCAGATGCAGCAAAGCGTGTCGCGCACCTGATTGTTCTAAGGGGAAGGAATCCCCACATTTATGTCCTAGCCCTTGTGTAAGGTAATTTGCACATATTTACACCAGCCTATATCAGGAACACACCATAATCAACTAAATGTGATGGCATATGCTGAATGTCCGAAATATGATGTAAGCCAAACCACCATCTACCAGTTTAAAAGCATTAAACTATTGCTAATTAATGAGTAGCAATGACACAATAAGTGAACGGCACTACTGCATACAACAAGTTTATGTGCTAAAAATGCATCAAGTATCATAATGAACAAAAATTGAGTAATTACTTACAGCATCTTCCATTGTAGCACGCCATCCTTGCATGGATGATAACCCATATCTAAGCCTACTGTTCTCACCATCTTCAGAAAATTTCTCTGTT